AGGATGGCCTTGAAATGTCTCGCTAGAGGGGCGGCGGGGTGGGAAGGGCGACCTAACCCACCCTGCCCTCTCTTTCCGCGTTATGCAGGATTCGTGCGCGGTGGACTTCGCCGCGGCTCGCGATTTTCGATCTTTCTCTTTTCCTTTTCTCACCGACGTTTAATAATGGACTACAAATTGATCCGCTCGCGTAAAGTAGCCGCTAGATTTCAGATAGCATTCCTCTCGCATCAGCGACCACAACGAAAAGTTCAGCGTTATTACCGTTACGCAAGGAGTTCGCTGCTCCTGTTCGGCCGCAATGCGCAATTAACGTTGCATACGTCTTGGTTGTCGTCGTCGTCGCTCACGTGCGGCACGAAACAAACGGCTCGAGAGGTTGGCGAGAGTCTCCCCTTATTCGGATCATCGATTTTCCGCGGTTCACATTCGCGGGGTCATCTAGTCCGAGAGAGATACGCCGTGTGTTAAAAGTCGGTCGACGTAACGCACGGTGCTTGACCGCGCTAACATCCGTCGCGCTCGCGTTCACCTGCAGCATTCCTGCAACCGTCGTCGTTATCACGTTTACGGAAAGGAACGCCGGGCCATTACGGCGACTGTTGTAATCGACCGAGCGCACGTCGTATCGTGGGACTAATTAGTTTCCTATAGATAGATCTTTATTATTTGTTTTATCTCGCATCATTATCGACACTTTTTTTCTCGAGTACACTAAGTGAGCCGACGCACTCTTATTTTTATCAGAGATAAACTCTCTGCGAACAACATCCGCTCTCGACGTGTGTTTGCCTATGTTATATTATATGTGCGGAAGTAAGGATGACTGTCTAAGTTAGGTTATAGTTAGCTGCACTACATTCGTCGGAAAATGCCTCAGCGACCCGTCGCGAGCACGCGCGCTTCTGAATGTCTTTCTTTCCTCACAGCACAGTACATGGAGAAAATATTATAGCAAATATTACGTTGAAATTAACTTCTTTATTAGTGATTTAAAATAGCTGCGCAATCCTCTTCCCAGGGCGATTTTTCTTAATAAATGTGTCTTGATTTTTTCTCTTTACTCTTATTTTCTTCGAAGGATGTTGAAAAAAGAATATATCTAATTTTTCTTTGTTTTTGGTATGACTTAAAAAGAAACACAATAGCTCAAGTAAATCCAAAAGTACCTAATATTTTGCTACGAAACTTTTCTGGACATGTATACACGCTTAAATTTCATTTTACAATATTTTTCGTAAAATTAGACTATACTGAAATTGCAGTACACATTGCTACAAAGGTAATAAATTTGACAATCTGTCGAATTTACGAGATATAATGAGCACTTCAGTAATTACGATAATTTGCAGTGAAAAGTCAAAGATGCATAACATGTTTGAATAAATATATAATAATTTCGGTCTAATAACTCTCTGTATAACCCGAAATGGCAGAAATATTATAATTTGTATTACAATATTTTCTCCATGTAGATCGCAATTTAATTGCGACAAGTTTCTCGAAGCCCGATGATATGGCGCGATCTTATCGTTGTTTACTCGGTTCATTTTCGAGTACACGAGATCATTATCGTCGATCGCTCGTTCGCGATCTGCTGAAGGAAAAGCCATTCCTCGCGCGCGATAAAACGTACGTGCCACGCGATAAAAGCCGCCAGGTGTCTCTTTGTTTTATTATAAATATTATCTCAAAGCGTCTTGAGCAGTCTCTCACTCTAATCTATGTGTAAACATAGTCCAGTCTCTCATTTGCGGTAATACGTCTCCCGTTGTAGGTCCGCGTCGTTGAGGAGTTTTTTTTAGAACATTCTCTTAGGCTGCGTTATTTTTATCACGTTTCACAGCGAATGAGTTGGGCCGCCGTGCCAAATTGAACATTTCATCTTTCGTGAATTCGTCCCAGGTCGGGCTGACGTTGAATGTCAATCTCGTCCTCTGTGCTTTCTAGCCGATCATGTATGTAAAAATCGTCGGCTCGATAAGTGCGACAAGATGCGTCGCGATAACGATTGGCATTAATAGCGTATCGTTTCGCGATAATCAAGCCCGTTCGTTTCCTCTCGGGCTATCACTTTTTCTTTAATCGGCGCGTGTGTAGTTCCGATCGCCTCGCCTCCGAAAGTGTACTCTCATTCATCTTTCCATCGAACTTTCTCCGAATCCCTGAATCCGCCGGCGGGTGCATCCCGGTGGTGAAATCGCTGTCGCGAAAGATCCACCACCGGGAACTCGCTCGCGTCCGCCTTCTCGAGCAGCGAAAGCAGCCGCTCCTCGCCGATTGCGATTTCGGCGATTTCGGGCCGATCGATCGTCGCGGGCCGACATTGTTGCGAAAGGAGATCGCGCCTGATATCGTTGGTCGCCGAGTGCGCGCGAGTGCATTCGACCGAGCTGTTTGTTTCTCTTTTACGTTTGTAGTTTTTCAGCACATCCGCTCACCGCTAATGCCCGGAACCTTATACTTTCACGAATATTAAATATTAATGAGAATCTTTTTAAGCGCAAATTCCGCGGACTTAGTATCGCATAATTAGTTGCGTCAAAAAGAAAAAAAGAGAGAGAGAGAGAGAGAGGTAACACACTATAAACGTCATGTTAAGAGTGATTTATGCGCGCGAAGATTACATATTCACGATATTAGCGCAAAAATTCATTGTATGTATGCTTGGGATGAGATACGTATTTATTGGGGCAATGTGATTTATGCTTCATTTGAGCGATCCTCAAGGAGATTTCTCGGAATTTCTTGATACTGTCTCGATAATGCTACAATCCGAAATAAGTATTTTCCGGCATGCAGGTGTACGAATTCCCCCGATACGTCTCGGATAAATACCGATCAGTGACTCGCGATATATCCGATTACTTTCAACGATGTGCCGTTTAGATAAGCTCGGGCTTTTGCTTCCTTCTACATTCGCCGCCGCCATATCGAGGAAACCTTCCTTTTTCACCTACTTACCGCGGTATAGAGACGATATCGTTGCGGTAACGCCTGAGGATCATAACAATCGCCGCGTATTGCGCGACGCCTGGTGTGTTATTTAACGCATTAGACTCAACCTCTCCCCGCAAGTTGCATTATGAACAATTTCATTCATGAAGCAACAGCCCGTTGGCAAATCTACCACGGTCTTCGTGGAATTGAGATATTAATCGTTCCTTCCCGGCCAACTTCCAGACGACATCAACTTGCGACTCGTGATTAACGTCGCGGAGAATATCTAATTCATTTCTATTTCTCCGTGGATCAAACAGATCGCATGTGTCAAAAATTGGATCCATTTTATTCAATTCTGCGAAGAGTTCATGTGTTTTTCGATTATTTTCTTAGTTTGTAATTATTTGTTAAATATTGCACAGTAGTTTCGATTTACGTTGACGTATAAATATTTCAAGGCAACTGAATATTTCCCATTGCTGTATACTGAAAAAAAGTACTGAGAAAAAAATACTTGAAAATTTATTTACGAGAATAAAGTTTATTTCCGCGAAATAAAGGTCATTTCTGTAGAATAGAATTTATTTCTATGAATATATATAAACTTTATATACCACAAATAAATCTTCAAATACTTTTTCCTCAATGTACGCGTTCCTCCCGGAAAACGCGCTTATGATAAAACGTGCACTGAAAGATAAAAAAATATATAAAGAAAATACAAATACTCTGTGGAAGTATCAAAAACATATTTACTTAAATTGTTTATTTAAATAGAACAAAAACAATTGCTTTCGAAATGCTGAGGTTTCAAGAAATGTATATTTTTTCGTGTTTGAGAAACATGTTTTTCCAGTATAAAAATATGTATATTGTAGCATAAATGAATATGTTATTAGTACCCACCGAATAAATAATTTTTATTTCTTAGATATTTTTTCTGTTAGTGTGGCCTAATCTCACAGTTTAGAATGCGATCTGTTTGATTCTTAATAACCTCCGGAAAGCGAGACGAGCGACATTCGCGTAATAAATCATCGCGCCGTTTCCTGACACGCGGTTAAGTGAGTAGCGTCGGTGCCGGTACAATAAGAGCGCGAAGAGTGTAACTGTGTGAGGTGGATTAATAAGGAAAGTGAAATGGTATGAACGGTACACATGCACAAGTTCGGATGGGCTGCCGGAACTCGAATAATCCACACGTGTCGCTGTGACATCGATGCCGTCGTTCCGCGATAACAAAAATAACGCGTGCCTGAGACGTTTGCGCAGTCGCAAGAACTATAACGAAACGACAACCGGAAGTTCTTGAAACCTGTAGAAGGATCGATCATCGAATAGAAACCGGTGACGCGTGCTAAATCGCGTTCCGCGGGGTCGAGCCCCGCGAAAGAAAGACATTCGGACAGGAGCAGTCGACGATCACCGGACGATCTTGAATGTGATCAGCGTGCGGAAGAGTGCCCTCACGGGAACTCCGTGGAGATTCCGTCGGAGGAGCTCTCAGCCTCCGAAGAGAAAGATCTCGCGCAACCGTGGCTCGGGTCATGTCAAGGTCATGAACAACTCGACCCCCCTTCGGCCGAGGATCGACTCACCTTCAGATCCTCAGAATTCATCCTATCGTCGGCACGATGGAGCTGTCCCGTCTACCTCGCGGAGAAGCGGCGAGTCGACCTTTAACAGTATCGCCTTGGACGTTTCCTACGCCGGCTTCGACGTGTCCGGCGTCGATTTCGTCGACTCCGGCAGCCGGTCGCGATTGAGCAGCTCGTTACCGAGCGATGTGTCGAACGCGCCGCATCTCTGGGAGGACATCGGCGTTGTCGAGTACCTCGACAGGAAGCTCGGTCCGCCCGACGAGAGCACGCCGGAAGAACGCGTTGAGACCCTGCGCGAGATCCTCGCCGAGACGGACATTCACGAAGGCGAAGGCAAGCTCTCGGACTTTCTCTTCCACGTGGCGCGGACCAAGTACGGCAAGGTGTACATAAGGGTGATCCGGACGTTCCTGTCCAATAGAGGTAAAAGCGCCGGTTAGATCGACCTCGTCGCCAGCGTCGTTCTCTGACATACGTCGCAATCTTTTGGAAAACTTTTGCGTTTTTGAGTACCGCGTAAGGTGTCTACTTTCCAAAGCCGGACACGTATCTGATTTTGGACATTCTTCACATCATCGTCCTAATAATTATTTGCGCTAACATCCAGCGAACGAAACTTCTTATTGGCCTTGTAGTTCTCTTAAATATTCATATTTAAAGACCAATAAGAATTCCCAGAATTAAGTGCGTGTCCGAGCATTAGTGCTTTTATTTCATCTAAAACTGACTCAAAATATCGGCCTTAATCTCAATCAAGTTTAATTCATTGTTGTAGCGTTTTGAGACAAGAATCACGTAGACTGAGATTATTGTTGCTCGATCTCAGTGAAAAACTGTGAATCTTTTATCTTTATCCTTTGATTGTTATATTGAGTGGTTGTTTGGTTTTGTTGAGCGTATTGTACGCCTTAAATCCCTTTGATCCCTGCGGATCTTGCCTCACTGAATGTTATTGTATATCTCCGTATCGAATGATTTATCACATATATCATCATCCAGAGCATTCCTTCTCTGATATGAATTTTTTAGATCGTTATTTAAACACGTAGCGATTCCGATGTGAAAAACAACTACACGTTCAATTACCAAACCATATTTCAACATAAAAATATTCAATTCTAATAACAAAAATAAAATATGTAAAATCACGCGTGTATAAATCCGAAAATATTTTACTAAATATTAATCTCGCGGTATACTGGACTCTCATATGACTTTTTCGCTAAAAGTCTTCGAGGCGTCTTATACGCGAGACAAAGGATCACGCGACGTTTGAGTCGCCGGCGATCTTCTATTATTTCCGACCGCGAGTTGTTTCGCTCCATGACGATTCAGGCGACACACGTTCACGCAGTTTCGCCGATCTTGCGCGTGTCCGCGATATCCTCGAGTCCACCCAGTATGTCGGAAATAATTACGCAAACCGTGGCGAAAAAGGAAGACAATGAGGACGATCGTATCATCAACCTGGAGCTTCTCGGCGATCCTTGCGGCAACACGCAGATCCCTTTCGATCCCGAGAGCCACGGGCTCTCTGCGGATTTTCAGTTAACGAAATACGCCGATCCACTGAGAAAGAACTTGAATTTGGAGCGACAGGAGAGGCAATCGTTGCTCGACCTCCTTGACGGCAAAAAGGTGATTTCTCCACGCATAATGTAAAAACAATCGAGAGAAACGCAACTGAATTTTCGTGACCGAAGAATAACTCGTACTGCTATCGTAATTTAATCATCATATACAACTTTGCTAATTATTTATGTAATTAGTAGAATGCTTTTCGATTCATTCTGACATAAATTTCCTACGCTAAGAAAAAATACTTGAAAATCTATTTGTGGAATACAAAGTTTATTTTCGTAAATAAAGTTTATTTCTCTGTGAATAAACTTGATATTCCACAAGTAAATATAACTAAAGTTTCTTTCTTTCCCTCTTCCTTTCTTTTTCTGTGAAATAAAAAATACTTTTCTAGATAAACTCCATATCCCACAAATAAATTTTCAAGTATTTTTTCTCAGTGTATCTTCTCGCAAACGTACAAAACTTGTCACGAAATACTCCTCGGAGAAGAATTACAATTATCCGTAACAAACGTCGTCAAAGTATAACTCGTCAGAAAGACGAGGGATCGCCCCTCATTGTCTACATAATCCTCCTACGACAGGACGAGAAGACGAGTCCTTACACGCCGACGTGCGATCGAAAAGACACTCGCGTGACGAGACTGGATAACGGCGGGATGCTCCTGGTGGAGACATTCAACATAATCCCTCCGCTCGTCGACGATCCTTACGTAATGGGCAAAATCGCTTATGCAGTCATCCTCGGAGGCATCCATTCTCTGGGTCTCGCTCAGTGCTCTAGCATCAGGATGATCTTGGGCGTTTCCGACGTCATGAAAGACGACGAGAGGAAGACGGTGGTGCCGATGATGACACGCGGCTTCGTGGACGCGGCGAAGGCCGCGGAGACGTCCGTCAAGGACTGTCAGGTCTTCCAAAATCCGTGGTGCCTGTTTGGTGGCACCGCCACGGCGCTGTGCTACCCCCACGAGATAGTCGAGCCGGTGGACGCGACCGCTGGTGACGTGATAGTGCTGACGAAGCCGCTTGGAACGACGGTGGCTTTGGCTATATCGGAATGGATGAAGCAGCCTGAGAAGAAGAGCAGACTGCTGTTGACCATCACCGAGGAGAATGTCGAGAGAGCTCGTTCTCGAGCCGTCGACTGTATGATGAGGACGAACCAGATCGCCGCTGCGCTTATGCGAAAGGTTGGCTCCCATCAAATCTCGGGGGTCGATTGTTCTTCAGGACAATCTTCAGAATACAGTGAGAATTACAAAAGTGAGTTCCAAAGTCGGTATTCATATACACCGAGAGAAAATATCTAAAAAATAAGAAATATCTACTTGATGGATACTAATAGCCTACTTATTTATGCTAATATAAAATATTTTTCAAACAAGAAAATATATTTTCTTCAAACCTTAATTTTTCACATGAAAGTAATTTTGTTTACTCTATTAAGTAAAATAATTTCGATTAAAGTAGATACGTTATTAATACTCATGTAATAAATATTTCTTATCTTTCAGATATTTTTTTCTGTCAGTATGGTCGGATCTTATTTATAACTATTATATGTTTGAGTTCGTCTTCAGATACTTTGTAGTCAACGAAACGAATCGTATATTAAACATAAAATCCGACTATAAATTCCAACCTTTGAGCTCACTTTTGTAACTCTCACTGTGTTCTGAAATACACGATCGATCTCCTCGGAAAGATCTACACGGAAATATATTGTATTACGCTATCAGTGATAATATTTACTAGCGGAAATTGTTTCCTCATCGAGTAATCTCTTACTAATGGAAGTTGGCGCTTCATCATCGAGTGCTACGCGATTAGTATCTTGTCCTTGATTTCGACTACCATCAACGAAATGTAATTCGCCTGTCGACCCTTGAATCAGTACAACGCCCACGCCGCATGCGAGGTGGGCTCCTGCGGCATCCTGGGACACGCGACTCTTCTGGTACAACGACAGACGAACGACGTGAATTTCATCATCCACAACATGCCGGTGATCGCGAGGATGAGCGCGACCGCGAAGATCACAGGCAACACGTTCCCGCTGCTGCAGGGTGAAGTGCCGGAGGTGTCGGGCGGTTTGCTGATCGTATTGCCGCGCGAACAAGCGGCCGCCTATTGCAAAGCTCTGGAGAAGATCGAGCGTAGACAAGCGTGGATCGTCGGGATCGTCGAGAGCGGCGAGCGCACGGCGCGAGTGATCGACAGACCGCGAGTGATCGAGGTGCCTGCTAAGGATAACGGTGTTTTCCTGTGGTAAATACCTGAGAGATCGCAGGACATCGCTCGTTCGAGTTCGGGAAAAAGCCAGGGGAGACATCATCCGCGCTGTTGCGGTTGGACAATTTTAACGGCGCTTCGTTCAACGGAAAAAATATTTTCCTAGAGTTATGCGATATTAATGCAGTAATAATAGCTTCAAGGATTTAAAAGGTATTCCGACTCGAAAGATCACAAAAGAAAAAAGTATTTCTTCCGAATTTTTTATAGGGAAATGAAAAAACCGAATAATATCAAACTTTGCATATTTTTTATATCTTATTTCAAGAATATATTAGTATTTTTTAAGTGTCAAACTTGTCACTTAGACAACAAAAATAGATAAAATAAGAACATATAAAGTTCGACGTCATTCGATTTTTTCGTTTACCTACAAAAAATTTTGGAAAAGGAATTTTTTGTGACCTTTTAGACCAGAATATTTCTTTAAGACGCATTTCGTCTTAACAAAACAGTCTTACGAATAATTACGTTGTTAGTGTGCGTTCAAGATGCATCTCTTTCCCTCGTGGAATCAGCACGATTGATATCTGGCAACTTCGGATCGAGGTCGAATTTTTTCTAACACCGCGAAACACGCGAAAATAATCGTGAAAGAAAGATCCCTCGTCTTCGCAACGGAAGTCCGACTCGACAAAATTACAGACTCCTTAATCGCCCGGCGGTATATCGCGCAATCACTTGAATCGCATCTGCTGAATCGCGGCGAAACGCGCGAGCGTTCGCATCAACACGACGTTTGTGTCGCGTGTCTAATAGCAAGGTACAGTTAGCAAAAGTCCCATTAACATCTGCTTATGTATACTGCGCCCTTCCGGTTCCCCGGTCATGGGAAATCTGTGAACTCGTCGCTCGCGTATTTACGCACGTCTATCTTTTTATCGCTTCCCACAATTACTTTTCTCGCATGGCATCTTGTATGCGAATTGTACAGCACGAGTTCCTTGACGCCTGTCCTTGATACCTTCATATATAATAATGTATAAGTCGAGAGCGGTGCAGTCGAGAAAAGTCGGTTCAGTTTGACCTTGTTTGTGGGGGATTCATCTCTATCATACTTTTTTTTTCTAAAACAATGCTTATCTAATTTTAATCTCCGATCAATGATGCGGCTAAAATGAATAGCGTTAAGTGTCAGACAGTTAATTAATTCTGGCGCACGGAAACGTTAATAAAGCATCTTTATTTACATGCACTGCTAATTCTTTTTTAAGGGAACTTTGATATTTTAACGAGTCTTTTTTTGTTTTACGAAAAGTTTAAATAGAAATTATTGTCTTTGCAAATTAAATTAACATTACTTTCTCTGCAGACCTCTCGTGCATTGCGAGAGAGACGGAAGCAATTAGAATAATTTTTCTTTCCTCATTAGCCAGATAAGGAAAAGCGGTCCCTCAACTACGCGAAAGTAAACGGGTTGAACTGTCGTATCGTGAAAAATTCTCATCTTACGGGCATCAGAAAGAAATAGAGAGAGAGAAAGGGAAGGGAGAGAGTAGAAGAATCCCATTTGGAAAGTCGTTTAAGGATAATATTAACAGCTACGGGAAAACGTGTCTATAACATTTCTCTCGTGTCTGGTAAGCAGCGGAGGGACACGCTTCGCGAGAGACGTTCGCCGACGACGAAAGGTCAAGTCGGAAACGACTCGGCGACCTCGAACGATCAGGGTCACATTTTGGAGCGCAGAAGCCGCGACGAAGTGTGACACTGCGCACGCACGCGAAATATTCAACACGCTCGAGAGATCGATCGGATTTGCTGCGCGACTTCCAAGAAAAGTCGTGTCGACCGTGAAAATGTGATTTTCATGGTGCATTATTCCAGCACTGTGGATGCAGCTGAGAAGAGCGCATTTCCTCGCGCTACTTCCAATAATGCGGTACAATTCATTAATTGAATCCTTTTTGAGTGTACAATTCATTAATTGAATCCGTTTTGAGAATAGCATAGATGAGCACGCCATCCATCTTCAAGGTATCCCAACGCGTATTTTTCCGTGGATCAGAATCCACGGAATCCGGGCGTGTCTTTATCTGCCGTGATCATTGCTGTCTGCATTACGACATGTAGCCATAGCCGTGGTATTAGTTGCGTCAGAATGATGAGTCCTAATCACATTATTCGCGCGTGAATTTGTCGCATGGTGACCGACCATTTCACTTGCTATACGCTCAAATATATGACTGTTTATATTTCACTTCAATGGTAGAAAATGTTAAGGAGTTCTAAGACGAATAGACCTAACCATGCAGAAGCTGACACAGATTATGGCAGTTGAAGACACGTTCGGTTTCTGGATCCTGGCGCCCGAGAAGATACACTTCGGGAGCCTGGGAATGATGCACTTGTTTTCACTCAAAAAAGATTCAATTAATGAGTCTTTTTTGCGGCAGTGTACACGCACCGAGTCGGCGCCGCCACTGCGCGACAGGATGCAATTTCACGAAATTCGCTGCCGCATAGCGCACGACGTCGCACGCGCTCGCGTAATAAGCACACGTCGTCAATTTCGATCGGCATGTAATGGCGTGCTAACATGTGATGCAATATATTTCTGTTATAATATATAACATCGTTAATACGCTCCCGTTCTCCTATCCATGCGCCGCACTCGATATTACCCGAAACGTTCGGATCCGCCGAAGGCTGGACTTATCGATCCTAGCTTTCTGAACGACAATTGAATATTTATTATATATTGCCGATTGCATCAATGCGACATTTCGTCGTTATCGACGATGACGACAGCGACGCGTTAAATTTATATATTTGTTCATTGGCGGAAAGGTCAGAGAACATCGAGTCGCATCTCTTTCTAAGCGCAGCTTCCCTTTAATGCTGCGACGGCTCCGTCCCCCTTCCATTACTCTAACCCCTTTTTTTATTTAATTGCCATCATTTCTACAATAAAAGTCATCAAAAATATTTTTACTATAACTTATGTTATAGTTTTGTACTATAACTTATTTTGCCAAAAGTTACATCTCAGAGAATTGCAAGAAGTGCGCGCGCCCTCACTGCGCCGTGTTTTCGCGCAAGGTTTGCGTTTACAAAATGGAGAGAGCAACGAAGCATGCGACTGAAAGAAAGACGGTCATTAAGGATCGAGGTTGCGGTTAATTAAACTGGAAGCAAAACGCCAAGGTCGGGGCTTGCACCGGCCAGGGGTGATTTTCCAGGAGCGCGCGCGTGTTTTGTAGTTGGCGGGGTAGGTTGCGCGCGCGCGACCTGGTCGTTCCCGTTCCGCCTATCCGGCCGTTCCTATTCCACCGCGTTCCGCGACGACACAGGCGGCTGAAGATGGCGCATTGATCCTATCGCGTAACGTCCGTGCCGCCGCTGTGATCCCGTGCGCGAGGGTCGGTGTGGCATGTTCGATCGGTGAGGAATCGGTGTCGCCAGAGGGTTAACGACGAAGCCACACGGTCGCTCGTCGCCGACGAGTGGTTGCGGAAAGCTGCATCGGGACGATGCGCTCGCGCTCCGACGTCGCGGAGACACGCGCGGAAGTGCCACGGTGAATCGCCCGTACGTGACGTCAGGCTCGCCGGCTTCGCCTTCCCCTCGGCTCGCCTGTGCGGCGGAATAACGCATTGAATGGTAAATATTGTGTGTGACAATCACATGTTGGACACGTCTCGTGAGCGTGAGTCATAACCGCCGGACGCGCCGGTGCAAAAAACCGTCGCGACTAGGCCAGACGGCCGCCGCCTCCGTCTCCGTCGTGTTTCATCGTGTCTCTTTCCCTCTCTATCTCACCTCTCTTTCTCTCTCCCTTGCTCCTGTTGTCTCTTTCTTACCTTACCGACACTACTACCCCGTGATTGTTAGGACGCGTAGTCTCGAAGCTTGACGCTTAATCGTGCCCCCGAGTGATCTCGTTGAGGGTGTGTCTTTTGAGTCTTTAATCTCGGCTTTGCGAAGGTGCATCTTACACGTGGGAAAAATTGCAATTTCGTGCGAAATGTGTCATCGTATCTTCCTCGACAAACTATACGTTCTACGCGTCAATAATATTAGACGTTATTTTTCCCTATTCGAGATGCAAGTGAATAATTCGTTTTACTCGAGGTCTATTGCTTTATGTACCGCATCGTTCTCTCGTGCAACGCTGTAGGCGGCAAAAGTCGCGAGTTGTTCGCGATCAGCAGTAGGCACGAGCACGTAAATGTGTAACGTCTCGTAATCGCAGTGGCTAAACATAGTGTTATCTGGAAACTGTAACCCTCGTGTGATGCATTTGCGTAACGCCGATAAGAAGGCTTCGAGTTAACGTCTCATGATTCTGCCAAGCGTACGTTTCACATTCCACGTACAGTAATATGGCTCAAGGTCGCTAACCTGTAACCTCCAAAGTTCAGTGTCATTAATATCTTATATGGGACATAATTCATCCTGCTAGATTCACTTATATCTCAGCCCGTCGAGGGATAGCGTGAGTTGCATCTGCTAACAAATTTACGTCATTATTGTCGAGCCGAATTTAATTACAAATTTGATATTTGTGTAGCATTGTTTTCGCGTACTTTTAATCTTCTTAAATTAATTCCTTGAATGGTATAAAGAGAGAATGGTATAACGACAGACTATTCCTGGAAGGATCGAAACAGGCGTGTTCTTGAACGGCTCGTATATCTCTCTGGAAAATGAACCGACGCGAAAACCGCATATTAAAGCCGCTGGCACATTATAAACTGCAAAAGTGGAACATAAAACAATGAGTGGCATTGATAACAGAAGCGTAGGTTTCGTAATCGGGCTATCTTGCAATAGGTAATTCGCATCCGTGTCCTGCAAAAGTACAGGAAATTCGAAATGATACTGATTACACCGTGATGATCATCGAGAACTCCGCGATATGCCGGCTCTTCTTTTTTTTTTCTTTCTCAGCCGTAAAGTTGTTCGCGCTCGCGGGACGATACTTAATAATGCGACACACATGGCGATCCAAGTACCGTAATCAGATACGTGTAAGGGAAAAAGAATTAATGACTCTATAAATATACGACGCCTCTCGAGAACATACAAGTTAGATCCTTCGATCCTCATTATTTACGGTTACGTAATCCGTTAAGTGACTATGTCGTGAAATACAAAAAAATCACAAGCTAGCTTGTTTTATTCGATTGTAAAACGCCACTTACGTTATATGCGTTTTTTTAAACCGTGCTAGGTTTTATAGATTCTCGGCTACTTGCTGCAGATTCTTATGCAAGCGCCGCGCGAAGAAAATCAATAATTACCTGCTCATCCTTACCTCAAGGTGCTGTACGGGCGTGATGCAGTTGTTTGTCCTCGACATGAGCCGAGATATTAGCGCCGAATATTGTTTCTGCGAAAAGTTCCGAGCAACACTCAGATAAAAAAAAGGCAGTAATTAGCGGTTCTCGAATTAGAGTCGATGAATTGTCGTTGCTATCGTTAGTTCGCTAGTATGTATCGGCGAACATAGTCAGAAGCAATCTACATCTGAGTGTTTTCAGACGACCCCGAAAGCTCAAAATCATTACACAACAACACGAAAGGGAAAGTCAGCGCAGGAAACTGTAACAAAAGACGCTTATCGATTGTAGCTAACAATCGGCGAGGTTACGGGCGACAGAGACGTTAATTCGAATTCCATCGTGCGGAACACATGTCAATGATCGCGAAATTATTTTATCACTCCTTGCTGACCGACGTGATCGAAACACATTCGATTCATTCATTTCTCGTCGCGAGTATACACATCTAGATGTATACACATGTAAATTAATAATAGTCATTGTTCACGAACGAGATATATGAAGTGTGGCCTTCAGTAGTATAATAAAAGAAAAAATTATCTTTCCTTGAAACTACTCTAAAATTATTTCGAAATTTTTTCAGATACTCTCGAGTCACATTAAAGTTAATGATACATGCAAAGAATATTATAGTTTTTCTCTTTTTTAATGCAAATTCTTTTCAATTTGTACTTATTTTTTCAATATGTTTCTAGTAGTATAAGAACAGACTGTCAGTAAAGTCTATTTTGCTAAGGAATTAATTTTATTGGAAACAGAAAATTTTTTAATAGCAATTTTTTAATTTCAATTCCTAAGATATAAATAGCACATATGGAATAAAAAGGTAGTCAATTACTGCAGAATGTAGATTCATTCCTCGATTACAAAATTCTGCAGCATTTTTTTCTATAAAATTGTTCCCCCACATGTAGTCATCATTTATTAGCGTGAACTGAAATGACCTTTAATTACACACTAGAGATAAGATGGTTGATCTAACTGAAATTCTAGTTACTTTTGCCCCAATCGCATTTATTGGTTGTTTCAACACGAATATGGCAGTATATAACATAAAGTTATTAATAAGAAAAATGATCAATCTTTAACCATAATTTATAAGAATTATTTCTCTGTGTGATTATAATTTCAAGTACCAAACATTTTTCTCTCAGTGTAACATGAAGAAATTGGCCACTCCGAAATTTCACATTAGATACTCAAGTTCGAAAATCCCGTCGAGATGTAATCGTCCCGTCGCGACGCCCATTAATTAATTCGCGCGTCACAACAGATCGTAAATACTCGCACGGTAAACACGCGTCCCGTCGCATTCCCCCGACCGCTCGTCGCCGCCCTGAAACCGCGGTCGCGAAGCAGCGCGCGGCATGAAACACTATTTACGACAGCTCTTGGTCCCGGGACCGGTCTGCGGACCTTCCGTATACCCTGGAGGAGGACACTGCGAAGGGCCGCGACGAGAGGACGCCGACGCCGGACGTCGTGGAGCCGGAGGAGTCCGGCCGCGAGCACGACGATCCGCAGGAGGATGATCCGTACGAGTACGACGACGACATCAGGCCGCCCGCGACGTCCAGGGAGGCCCGCGGCGGCGACGACGACGACGACGACGACGAGGACGTGGAGTGCCTGTCTCTGTTCGAGGCGGCGAGTTATCTCGCCGCGAGTTCCTCGGTGCCGACCACGCGGGTCAGCGCGCCTTGCTGGGGATGCAAGAGCTGTACTGTCGAGGCCCTGCCGTTGTTCCTCCTCGGCTCGCCGACGGAGACGACCTGCACGTGTACCTCTTGTCAGTAATCGTTCTGTGCCCCGGTCGTGCTGTCGTCGGTACACGCGTGTCGTGTCGTCGTGTACGTGTTCGCACTGCGTCAGGATCGCGCGTCGTTTCGGGCCTCGACTCTGAGCGACGTCGGTTAGCCGCTAATCGCGGTTAATTCGATTATCCCGCCGCTGTCGGCATGATGTACGTACATAGGCGGTGTAATGGGACTCTGATTGCAACGGCCGAACCATGCTCGGCGATCATTTCGATGAAATTCATTGCATTCGCGTCCTCGTGAATGCTAGAGAGCGCGATTTATTATTCTTTAAAACATTTATTATCGCTTCTGTAGAAGGAATTTCTTTCATAATAGGAAGGAAGGAATGTTCCTTTTAGCATATTTGTATTATTAGAGAACGGAATTCTTTCTTTGGAAGCAAGGAAGTTTGAGGGCAGGCTCTCGTTTCGCGCTACTTTATGTATCGCAGAGACTTCTCCAGTGTTGGATTATTAATTTCAAGTCGACAGCGGCCTCCTCTCGGGCTGATACTTTGTGTTCGTTGGCGTGTTAACGGATGCGCGCTGCTAAATTGCGCGATCGCAAACTTTCTCTCCGCACTTTATGCGGGTGGAGCTCGCTTTGCATTCTGATTGCCGAGATCGTCCTGCGACGACATCGCGCTTCTGCGGGCTGTAGCGATCGAGGCTACTCTACGTAGTAGTACGTACAAATTTGACGAGCCAATATTCATCCGGCGCAGTGTGGACGTTTCTAAGTGGCACTTCCGTCACCTGTGCCGGCTTCGGCGTGCATTCGATCTCTCTTCTTTTCTTGCGTCTTAGAAGCCGTCGCATCTGTCTCCGTGTCGCCTTGAGCTACATTATCGCTTCTGACCGCTCGCTTCGACATGACATGGCTTAAAATTATGAAAAAAAAACCCACCTTGCGCGTAGATCGTAAAATGCACGCACTTTAGATAACATGTATTGTATATCGACAATAAATAATGGCTTGTCTCGATAAAATTTGATAAGATATGATCGCGCTATGCGCGTGACGTATCCATTTCGTATTTGCTTTTTTTGCGAGTATCATCGTGCGTTTCGTTTCATTTCACAAGCAAGCAGTTCTTTATTATTATCACCATTATTATTACTGCGTGAGTCACATCGCGGCACGTCGATACTTTGGCACTTGCCGTTGCTATGCACGCGCTACCAGATCGCTTTTGACGATGTGCTTCTGCAGAATTTATTTTGTAATCACGATATTATCAGTGACAAAACGATATCGATAACAACACGCGCCTCATCGGAGGAAAAAAATAAATAAATCCAGCGGTCTCTTGCGCAGTTAGAAGAGTTTATGCAATGAAAAAAGAATACTTGACAATTTATTTGTGGGATGTAAAGTTTATTCTCAGAAAAATATAAACTTTATCTCACAGAAATAAACTTTACACCTCACAAATATATGGAAATGTATATAAATACATGTAAAATATATGTAAATCTTCCAATATATTTTCTCAGTGTGCATATTTGTTTGTGCAATACCATATTATTGCAACAAACACCGACGGAAGAAGCTTTCGGAAATGATCGATTTAATCTTTTTGCATGACAAATAGGTCAATGCGTACTTGTGTGCGCGAAAACACTTTTCTCGCGTGTCCTTGTAGTTTTCCAGAATGGAAAGCTATATATGCATTCCAATCGTGCTAGATCGACGAGTCACCGCATCGCTTTTGTGAATGAAAAGTGCAATAAGACCGGTTTTAAAGATCCCGAGCGCCGAGAATAATCGGCGTGTCGCATATCGACGAGAATTCCGGACTATAACCCGATATTATCTTTGATAAGCGAGCAAAGAATGATTCACTGATGCCTGAATTGAAGGCGCAAGATTGAAGGTGTGGGAATTTTAATCGCGAGCTTGGGATCCCGCTTATTCAAATTTTTGACAGTAACTTTCGTTTGGCAAATGACCTCGATCGATCCTTCATCTCGTTGTTATGTAATTAAAATGTAACAGGTGATCTAACGAGATCGAAACGATTCAATCTGCACGATGATGTACAATCGATTTACAACAGATAAAGTGACGTAGCGGAAAATGAAGTTTATTAAACTAAACGAGGCGATAATTGCGTTCAGTCGCGTCTGTCATCAAGGATAACAAAGCGCAAAATTCTACAGTCACCCTCGCGATAAAACTCACGGTAACCGCAATTTCCAATCGCATGTTGCTTCACGTAACACAGTTATCACCGCGTTGTAAAACCTATTTATAAACTACTAGAAGTTAAGAAAAATACGAGCCACACACAGCTCGCATTTCGCCTCGTAAAAATATTCTGTGAAATTCTTCATCGAATTTTTAAGGTTTCTCTATCTGGTCTGTATCAACGAGACATTGTTCTCTATCGAAAGAAATGTGCATCTAATATAATCATAATCTTATCTTTAACTAACATCTGACATAAACATAATCTTATCTTAACGGAATGTTTTTATACATGATGTTGAAAGGATTCTTCTAAAATTTACAGGAAAATATTCTAAGCACAATATTCTTAAAGTTAGAAGTATCGAGAGACTTTTAAAGTTCGCATTTTATCGTACAAATCTTGTTTTTGATAGCAATTTCTTTTAGTTAGAGGGTATTTTATTTCAAGTAAACTTATTCTTTTTGGTTAAAAAAAATAGGTAAAAAATTACAATAATATTTAGTGGATTTTCGATTAATAATATATTTTAGGTGTTATATTTTTTTGTTAATCTTAAAAATATAAGATATTTTCTTCGATGTGTGATAAAGAAAAATTATGCAATCGCTCAAAGTAAGAACCGTAGAACACGTGTTTCGAATTATGCCAGAAAGGCGACGTGACGTGAATCAATTTCGAACGTGGGAATCCTATTCTTTAGGCAGAAAGCACGAACTGACGTGGGAGCTTCGATGTTTTCGTAAATCTCCGATGTTCCGAACGAGTAACAGCTTGTACTTTATTCTTTCGTAAATAGAACTGTGGGTCATTAGGGCGCTATTCTCGGGACATTTCGCGTATTTCAGTCCATGCAGCGAGCTATGTCGCGCATCGATCGCCAGGGAAATCTTGAGCTCGCGTGTTGTGGTATAGTCCGCAACACTTTCTGAAAAATTCGATCATCGCGGTCAATTGGCCGTGAAGGTGTCTGTTTAACGTAACTCGCTCACCGAGGAGGCATCGCCGTCATGAAAAGACGATTTTTGTGTGGACTTGCTTCGAAATGCACTGATGGGCATCGAAGCGCGCGCGTCTCTCGCTGGGATTGAAAGTGCCCCATTACATTCATTTAGTCTCGCCTCTTTGGTATTATTGTGGTAACCGATCATCTCTTTGACAAAATAGCATCATTTATAAACCGTCTACACAAATGAACACTCGCGAAATACGTGTCTTCGAAGTATCAAGATAATCTCGAGCTAATTCTGCTGTCACATCGCATCACTTGGTTCAACTACTGGCGTTGAAATCCTACATGGGAAAAAAGATTGATTGAATTAACACGATAATGGCACAATTATATGTGTTTTGGTTGAGAGAAATAGAATTTTTAGTTCCTAAGAGGCAAATTTGATTCATTAGAAATTGTGTTTCCTTCAAAAACATGTTTAATTGTGTCATTAAAGTAAAAATACTAATTTTCCTGGACATGTGCACAAAACAAAATATTTTTATAAAATTTATTTATATATAGGACATAAAGTTTATTTCTACGAAGTAAACTTTTATTTCACAAATAAATGTTTGTTTTTTCTCAATATAACTAATCTTGGACATTATTATTGTTTAGTCTTTAAATGAAAATATTTAAACTTTCATCATAAAATACACAGTATCGGTTGTATAAGAATATACAATATCGGTCAAGAATTTGAGATCACTGATAAAAATGTTTATCAAGATAATTATTCTTGATAAATATTTTTTATCAGTGATCTCAAACTGTTGACCAATACCGTGTATGTAATATTTATATTTTATATTGAAAATTTAGATATCTATATTTAGAAACCAAAACAATAAAAATCTCCAGGATTGAGTAAGTGTCGGGAAATTGATACTTTTACCTTACCATGTTAATTAAATCAATCTTGTTTCTCCGTGTACGGTAATTTCTTCTTTCTTTTTGTTGTTATATAAAGATGTTAAAACGAAAGTGAACATTTTCAAAAATGACCACCTGACTCTTACCTTCGATGTTGCACAATGCATCGTGCGAAAGCAAGGCTCTCCCGATCGGTATATAATTTACGACGCGTCGAATGGCCGCGAAGCAACAACGGACGTTTTCCGTACGGAGGCGATAGCTTCCCGACAATAATCGGACTCGATAATGGCAATTTCGACGATTGTTTCCTTCTAATGTCTGACACACGTTGCGCAACAACGTCTCCTTAATTGCACGTGTGCAACATGGCTTTGAAAACGAAAGGCGCGTCTGCGCTTTCGACCGGCCGGTGCGGTTTGCGACGCACCGTGTCGAGGTCGATCGATAGAGAGACGCGAAAAGAATCAACTCTCCGCAACTCCCGGTACCTCGCGGAGCATCATTTAATCTCCACGCTTTCCTGTTCTTTCCGTTCGCGTGTCGCGTTTTCTCGTCGCCCTCATTAGAGTCGCATCCTTCGACGCGGAGCACGCGATCGTGTCTCCTTGCGATTTTCCTCGCAGTTGGTCTTGAGCGCGCGGCACAAGCGATCGTACGCATTTGGAAGCCCGGGAACATCTGTTGCTCGCTGTTTATCGTCTGGCGAAAATTCGATAGTATACGCGTGATCGAATTAATTGCGAGGCACGCAGATCGCAAGTAAAGCGAGATACTGTGGAGATGTCGAGTGCGTTAAAACGGTCTATAGGTATAGTTTCACGTTAAAAATTTACGCGATTGAAGTCCGAGCATCGATTATCCCCATGAAGTGAGTCCGGTGACTTGAACGTTCTCATTACTTCCACGTTTGTCGTGCAAACTTGCAGTGTTCTCACGTTGCGAGAGCGCGACTACTCTAAATGCACGAAAAACGTTCGTCGGCAGCCTTTAATTTCGTGGCTTCAGGTGATCATTAGCATGTTACATTGCTCGACATGTTAGCATGTAACAAGTGTTGCAACATACATTTTTTGCCAAACAGTTCCGGAACATCGTAGATGCATTGAGAATATTTAAATGGAAACTTTTAAGGACGTAATTGAGATTTCGAGTTTAGAGGCGCGATCGTCATTTATATGTATTAAGCTGCGTACACACCTTTTCCTGCGCGTTGGCAAAGGTTAAAAAGCGAGTTCAATGAATGCGTGAATACCGGCTCGGGACTTGCGCTTCGCTCGTTCACAATAGAATTACATTCTAAACTGTCACCTGTTAACAAATAAGATTATAAATAGCGAAAGATCGATTACCGGTAATGAGATAGTATACACATATAAATATCTAACGCATTACTTTATGGCCTTTATTGCCGTATATAAGAGTTTTTCAGTCGAATCACAATTACAAATATAAATATCCTACATATATTATAATTACATTAGAAAATTTGGATCTAACTTTGAATAAAAATCTGAGTATCTCATTTATGATAAGTTTCAAGTAATAACTATTAATACATCTCCAAGAATGGTATTCATAATCGGATCTTATATTTAAGATCGTCTGAATTTGAAGTTTATCTTCAAATATTCTGTAGCCAATGAAATAATTTGTACAGCATCTAAAGATGAACTTAAGACGGTCTTAAATATAAGATCCGATTATGAATACCGACCTAAAGCTCGTATTAATAGCCATTACTTGAAACTTGTCTTACGTGAGATCTGAACTTAAAGTTAGGTAAGAATTTCTTATTTGAATTATATAATACGCGTGACATTATATTCGCAATCGTGATTCAACTAAAAACTCACGTCTAACTTTAAATTAAAGTTCGACTGACTTGACACCTGAGACGAGTTTCGAATAACGATTATTAATACGGGCTCGCTTCAAAGTTACATGAAATTTCCGTTCGCGATAATATATGCCGCTTTTATTGGTGTCCAAGAATCGCTAATTATAATGAGCAAGATGTACAGAGAAAATATTGTAATAAAAATTTACAACAAATGTTTTTAATCTTGGTCATATAAAAATTACGACCGAAATTATGCTTTTTTTTTTCTTTAATGTTATGCACGTCTTTTTACTATAGAATTATTACAATTACTCGAATGTTTTTTTGTATTGTATATTCAACAGATTGTCAAATTTACTATCTTTATAGTAATTTATACACTTATTACAATGCCAATATAGTTCAATTCAAAAAAACAAAATAAAAAATATAATTTTAGTGTAATTTTAATATTTCCTATAATATTTCTTTTGTGTATAAGATTGATAAGCAAGAATGGAGGATTAATCATGACTTCGGTAACGCTTAATTTGTCGCACGCGAATAAACGCGGAGATTTTCACACACACACACACACATACACACACGTGCTTGCGCTACACCGGAATTCGAACTCGTTCTATCAGTTTCAGTCGCTGTTGTATAGCGTGTCACGTCAATACGCAAACAAACCGCGCGCGAAACATCGTTCAACAAAAGAAATATAATACCATTGATTGTGCCGTGCAAGTCGTTGGTTTACGATGTACAGCACAGTGTGATTCTACTTAAGCGCGGTGCAAAATGTAGCTTACATTATCAAAATACGACAACAATATTAAAAGACAAATTTAAATTCTAGTATACACATCCAAATAAAAAATATAGTTAACAGTTATATAATATAAAAAACAGTTATATAATATAAAAATAATTTGTGATATAAAAATGCTATATATTTATAATATTTGATATTAAAATTAGAAAAAAACAATATCACGATACAACACGACAACGTCGAGAATCATAAGACCACCATTGTAATGACTATAATTACACATGTAATTACACTTGTAGAGCACATTTTATATTGTAATGTTTTTCCACGAAGCAAGATGTAAGTGAGAAGTAGCATCTCTGGAGCATCGCTTACACTGTTTAGGGCTTAAATGTGATGATCCGGCCTCTCTGTATTACTTGCCATGTTATTTCTTCATCAAGATACTTGGGTCGTTCAACACGTATAGTCTAATAACGAAGTGCTGTTCTGTTGCAGTCCTATGTAGCAACCGGGTGAGCCAAATGACCAAGACCTATAATGATATAGAGGCAGTTACAAGGCTTCTAGAGGAGGTGAGTTCGAGCAGGGAAGAATAAAAGCTAGTAGAAGCCGAGTGCGCGTTGTACGCGCGTCATATGGTTAAAATATTACGATTCATATCTATATCTAAAAATATCCATGGAAGTTTGAAGGTTTAGAACATAATTAATAACATACAATGGGTCGATAAGTACTAACTACTTAATACTTAAGTAACAATTAAGCAGTTGTATAATCAGTTTGCAATATATGCATGTTTCACCAAGCAGTCAGAATTACATTCGAAATATATTTCAATTATTATTCTTTTATATATTTGCTAGTATCCAAATCTTTATAATATTTAAGAATAAAGTAAATCAAAGAATGAAATCCTCTTGGGAAAATATATAGAAAATATTAGAAATAATATTGTGTCTTTCAAGAGAGACTAACAAACGCATTATTATGCCAAACATGTATATAGATGAAAGTATTTGAAATGTTTATTAAGCTGCAAAGTAAATCAATTATAAATGAAGGGCAGTCGCACGCGAAGAATTATCACGTAGAGTAACGACGACATAATAAGAATGATTATGTTTTTCTACGACAGAAAGAAAAAGACTTGGAGTTGACGGCGCGCATCGGTAAGGAACTGCTGACGCACAATCAGAAACTTGAGAGCACGGTAAACGCATTGGAAGCCGAGCTCAAGGAGGCGAACGAAAAGATCACACAGTTGAATCATGAGCTACTGAAGAAGCACGAGCTGATACAGATACTAACGAACGATGTGGACGAGTCCAGCTCAGAAGCCGGGACACCCACCGGCCTCCGCGGCATCAATTTGGACCTGTTGCAGAGGAAGATCAACACTCTTGAAGATGAGAACAAGCAGTTACGCAACGAGTTCGCCAAATTAGCGCACGATGCCGACGATTCCGAAGAACAGGAAGCACGCCTCGTAAAGGACATTACAGCGCAATTAGGTACAGTGCCTCTCGCGCCTAACGTTAAATAAATCACTTGAATGACTGATCAGCTTTGGGGAAAAAAAATTAATAGTAGATAAAAATTATAAACGCCGCGAGCACTCAAATAGATAGAACAGTATTGTTACAACCTTTAATACATTATATTACAGTAAGTGCCAACATGGAGGTAGACGGCATTGCGGAGGAACTCGGCCGTCAGAAAGAAGAAAACCGTCTGCAACATGAGCAGATAGTCAGTCTCACCGCAAAATTGGCTGAGACGGAGCTCAGACTTGCTCAACTGATGGCTGAGCATGACGAAGTGGGAGCGACTCTAGTCATCACTAGGGATAATCAAAATACACTGGCCAGTGAACTAGCCGAATTCAAGGAGCGATACGCGGAGGTATATTTCTCTCAACATGTACCAAAAAAATTTCTCTGAACATGTACCAAAAAATAAATGAAAGCAATTATTTTCTTGTAGTCTCTCATGATTCATATCGCACTACAAATAAAAAGAAACTTGATGATTAATAGATTATGATCTGAATGGTCGTTCTGGATACATTAAATAAAATACTTTCTACATTATGCTTGCATATCAGGTGGTGAATTTACTGGCTGAAACGCAAGAGCAGTTGCGAAAACAGAGGAAACGCGGAATGCCGACTGTGCGTGGTGGTCCTCTGTTTCCGTCGATGGGCGCGGCGCCACAGCCGGATTCTATCGCTTCGGAACTGGAATCATCCCTTTATTCAGAATTCAGCGTTGACTCTGGGATCAGTGGTGACAGAATGTATGTTATAAAGTTACGTTTAAATTCTATCACTGTTAAATCAAAAGCAAGTTGAACGATACTCAAATTCTCGTATACTCAAATCAGTCAGCTGGCTATAGTATTTATTTAGAAATTAATAAAGTAACTTGCACTAACTTTATTCCGCAGACCAACGTACAAAAAAGTATTTGAAACGGTTCGTACCGCATCACGGTCGTCCCATGTGACAAGTATGGATCCCAACCAATTCCCCAGGATAGGTTCTATGACGACGTCTACGTTATCCAGCAGTTCCGCTGGTCCGCGAATGAGTTGTGGACAAGTGCGACCTCACGCGTCTGCATATCCCAGTTTAGACTCCGCTGGACATAGTGATAGCGAGGGATCTCTCCTTACGGAGTCAGAGGATTATCCGTATGTATTCATTTCTTTTCAATTAAGGAAAGAATCTTCTACCACGTAGCAAGTGAACTTGTTCCAAGAAGTGAAATTATATTGTGTTATAGAGGACCACAACGAACCGGTGTACCCGGTGCTCCCGGTGCAGCTGATCTAGAAGCTGCTTTGCGTCGTCTGACGCCGGCCGAGGTTTTAACCAGGCGTGCGTGTCTCAGTACAGGCGCTGGTTACAGTTATGATTACGACGGTGGTGGCATGCACTCGCCGCCGACGTTCTTGCCTTTTGGCTGTCGCACTCCGGACAGCATCATGTCGACTGGCAGCAGCGGTAATCTAAGCGGCTTTAGCGGCAACAGCGGCAACACTTGGCGTATACCGGAGAAACTACAGATAGTTAAGCCGATGGAGGGATCTCAGACGTTACATCACTGGTCGCAGCTGGCGACACCGACACTGGGTGGTCTATTGGAAGACAGACCAGGCGTGAAAACCAGGGGCGGACGCGGTCTCGAGGACCTCGGTCTTGTTACATTTACTTTGAGTGATTTGGAGGAAGACGAGGAATACACCAATCCGGGTAAATTGTTCCAAGACACCGGCTCGGTCTTTACGTACACCAACAGTACAGTGTTGCATCCGGACGATCACACTAGCGTGACACCGAGCGTTGTCGGTAGTCGGGTCGCTACAGCGCCCAACAGCGGTATGAATTCCGGCATGAGTACACCCCGCACGCTCAGTCGTCGTAACTCCACGTCGACATTCTCCACCACACTCGGGCTGGCCAAGATGTTGAATGAGAGAGGTATCAAGGCCGTGACGCCGTCGTGCCTAGGTACTCCGTCCTGTGTAGCAACGCCCACTGGCGAGCGAAATTTCACACCGACTGCCACACCGTGCAACAGTCCAGACGCGAGCCCACCACCTACACGATCGACGTCACCACCGCCAGAAACTGGCAGCACTCTTGCGCTAGGATTATTCAGTAGCGGAGCAGAGTTATTAAAACGTACTTTCAGCCATGAACCACCGGCAACGGCGGCACAGTCCAAGAAAAAGCGACCAAAACCGGCACTCTCGCGTTCCGAAAAGAAAGCTCTCACGGGTATACGCCTGGTGGAAAAGCTCGAGAGGATCGGAATCGACACGATCATGGCCACTACCATCTCATCGATCTCGCCCTTAGCGCTGCACGGTGCTTTGTATACGCGTCGCTTGACTGAGAGTCCAATGGCACAATTGACTTTCCTCAAGACCTCATTGTCCTCCAGTATCAGCCAAGAGAAGCTAATATCTCCCTCGTCTTCAGCATCCTCCGTTAGTGGCGAGTTCCCGACGGATAAACCGCCATTACCGGGCAAACGAAGCGGCGGTAAGGGAGAGTCCGAGGCCGATGCGCGGTCTAGCTCTAATGCATTTAACTTGAGGGCGGGCCAGTCGTCGGGTCGACAACGACGATCAGGTGCTAAAGCGACAAGACCCGACTTAGGACAAGTTAAGCCACCGGCTCCGACGCCCGTCACTAAAGAATCCGCTGCGCAATCGGCATTGGGCACGATAAGCTCGCTTCTCTTTGGTCGTAAGGGCGGCTTATTGTGAAGACTTAATAGAATCTGTAATTCGAAGGGTGGATTAGTCTATATCAGTGAATTAATTTCTAATGAATTTGCGAAAGGAAGCTCTTTTTTATTACTTGAAAGTTTCGGTTCACGCATTCACTGAATGATACACGCGCTTGTCTGTATCATCGCGCTTATCTGTATATCGTAATTTTCCAGCAAACCATTACAATGAATCATCGTGAAAATTGACAGTTTTACGCTGTTAAAAAGTGTATCAACTCTGAGGATTTATACGAATCAAGTTGCTAAATATAGCCGCACTACGTACACTGAGCATAAAATCATTGTATCTTAGATTTTGTTTCGAAAAGAAGAAAAACAATGAATTAGAAGCGAGATTAATGCTGAGACAGATTTTTCATAGGTTGTGATATATGAGGAAAAATCGGTAAACCGCTAGAGATCAAAGAGAAAGATATCCCGAAAAATTATTTTAATCTTGCAATTATGTGAATGAAATACGTATATACATATATATATATTTCTGATAATATTAAGCAAGAAATCCGAAAAACGAACTAGGGGGGGGGGAAGAACTATAGTGGCAGGGTAGTTAGTGAGATTAATAATCGTATACTCGAAATTCACAGCTAATCAGGAAAAATGAACTGTCATTATCTTGACACATAAATCAGTAATTAACAATAGGGATGGAATGCACAGGGTGATGCATCGCTCATGATACAACATTTTATGCGATTTAGCACAATAATTCTATTTTGGTGCTGATTTATTTTCTTTTCCGGTATATGCTTGATAATGATGACGATGAGGAGTCCGTAGCAGCATTGCCAATGCTATTGTCAGTCTTTGCACGCGGAAGATTGTGCATTTAGCGTGGAGTCACAAAGTACTGTATATAGGCGAGTAAGATGCAACTACCGGAGGCCAGTTGAAGCGCCTCGCCGTTTTTAGTCCTGACTTTTTTTGTGACTTATTAATTTATTGCAACATTGTTTCCTGCAGATGGGGCTCAGTTTTACATGTAAGTGACCTATGATGTACTATAGAAGAGTGTTTTAGCTCGTCGCAGCCTTGTACATAGACGTACAAATTAATAAATTAAGTTAGAAAACAACGTGTCGCTATCCTGTCTCGTTTGCATCTCCGCTCACATCTCCTTATCGTTGTTGTCGAGACCGGTGTCCGAGAGGCCTAAAGAGTTACATGAAAGAATGAAAAATTGGGGTGAATAGTCATGTGTGTGTGTATTGTAAATAGAGTTTATCGGTCCGACACGATTGTCACGAATCGAGATCGGGGTAGAAGGGGTGTCATATTTTACTGCAATTACATTTTGTACTGATACTTGAGAGATGCAGGATCTAACGCAGAACTGGTATTCGCACCGAAAACTTAGCCCTTTCCAATAATTATTTTATCCATAGCGCGATATAGTTTTTAGATACTTTTTAGATACTTTAGGCTGGATATCGAAAGAAGTTCCTGAGCTTATCTTGTGTGTTCGTAAAGAGAGAATGAATTATATATTCAATATAATGAACATTAAATATCCTGCATGAAGGACGTAAAATGTAATTAAAAAATGCATTTAGATAGAACGTAGAACCTCTTCCTCTCTCTCTCATTTCTTTCTCTCTCGAGTAGCAAAGCACATGCCATGTTTGTTTCAGAGTATTATGTATTAAGTCAATCGTATCAGTAATAATTGCGGTAAAAGCGAAAGTGATTCGACGGAATAAAAGGCGCGCAACATCGCGATATAGGATCACGTTATTAGTTTCTTATGAAAACTGACGATACTTATGAAAAGCACACAGGTGCAACATAAAATATATATTACAACATAAGAAATTTTTAACGTAATTTATTTGTGGAATTCTTTTTTATTTGTCCGATTTAAATTGCTCCGGCAGCGAATAGACTTCACTACTAAGTTTTCACGGTGAACAAGCGATACATGTACATGTAAAATAGACACGATGCGTTTTACGAACCAACGAGTAGATTAATATTCCCCCGATTATAGTCGCGTTGCTTCTATAAATACGTCCCTGCGGCGAACGCAATGTTAGCACTAAGTAAAGCGTCTCGTGTATCTCGCTACAGTGTTAGATCCATTATCAAGATTCGAGATCGAGTACCTGTAAAGTTTTCGTATTTGTTGCCTGATGTTATTTTAGATTGTGATATTTTTACAGTAGCGTATACTTAAGTTGATATGTACTTATCCCGATGATTTTTATGAATTTATTCGACCTACCGATTGTTTTACCCGCGTCTACAACTAGCATGTCTTACAAGCCCTTTACCATAAGGTGCTACGTAATTATTCTAGATATATAGTATCTGCACTGTAATTAAACAATTGTTACAGTAGAAATTGCGGTATGTCATACCTCCAAATTGAACAATAAATATATTTAAGTACTAACGGTATAATTCTTATCTCAAACGTCGTTGGCATCTTTTGATGCGTTCGTATTATCAAATAGCGTCGTTCGCAATTTAATTTCCATAAAGCAAGATTCTCTCGGTAGAGAAATTTCATAATTCTTATTTTTTTATGAAAGATGTACAGATAAAGAAAATATAATAGCAATCAACGTTAAGTTATAGGATTTATACATGTAATTCACTAATATATACAATATGTTTTTTATTATAGTATCGTGAAATACAAAGCATGTATATTACTTTTTCCCAGCTATAATGATACCATCATACTTTTGCTGGAACCATTTCATCGCGTCTTCTTTGGTAAGTCTGTGTTGAAAGCCGACTTTACCAGTTTTTCTCCTCCTATGTGCTACATTGAAGCCTACAAAACATACATTCACGAAATTTAGGACATTCTTTTTCTTACAATTATCGCCAAGCACTAAACTTTAGTTTTAATTCTCAATCCGATCGACAATAAAACGCTTAATGTTAATCAATGAAGATGTAGCCCCATTTAAGTAACACACCCAGTAAAAAAGTGGGCATGTGTTGCAAATTTGAGGCATTTTCTCTAGCACATATTTAATAATTATAGAAATCACATATAAGAGAAATCTACAGATACCAGATGATGTGCAATATCCATATAGATATGCAAATTAAAATATGTTACTAACCTGGACGTCCAAGTACAACATAGAAGTCCAAGCCATAAATGCCGATGCTAGGATCATACTTAATTCCCAGATCAATGTGTTCTTGAATACCAAAGCCAAAGTTTCCAGTACAAGAGAAGTTTTCTTTCTTCAGTTCATATTCACGTACCTACATCAAAGCAATGCATCATATGTATAATCAATATATATATAGATAGAAAATTAGGACAAACACTTTTACGAATTTATTGATATACCTTCAGACCACGTTCCAGGATTTCTTCTGCCTTTGCACCACGCACAGTACAATGTACAGCTATCTTTTCATTACGTCGAATGCCAAAGGAACGCACAGTATACCTGGCTTTTGAAAATACTGGTTGCTGACCAGTCAACTGTTCCAATACCTATATAATAAATTAACCACAATATCTGGGTTGGAATCATTTACATTTTGATCTGAGAAAGAAAAGAAGAACATGATGTGTTCATAAAATTTACCTTAGCAGCACGTGTCAGTCTGTCACCAGATTCTCCTACACAAATATTCAAACATAACTTGCGAATTCGCACTTCACGCATCACATTCTTAGAAGCATCCTTTGGCTCCTTCTTTATCTTCTTTTCGTTTTTTGCCGTCTTTTTCTCAGACATTTTTGTCAAGTCCTATGAATGAAACAAGATTCGTAACAATCTCTTGTTATTAATCTAGGCTAATGTATGCATTGGCTATGGTAATTTTATTATTTCTTATAAATCATCCGAATACGAAAAAGTTAATATGAAAGTAGCTACTGTTATAATAATAATTTAATATATTAACTTTACTGTTATAATAATAATTTAATATATTTATTTTTTAACAAGTTATACGCTGGTGCCGATTAAAGACAGGCATGTATGTAACCTCTCTCCTGTTATAACAATAAATTTGGATGCATTAATCAAAAAACGAATACCATTGATAAATAGTAATAATGTAGATAATTTTAGCGTCGTGAAGATATATAACAAAATTAGACGATGCAAGAAATATGTTGGGATTAAAATTGTCACATAAGCGTAACCTATAACTTACCGCCATAGTGAGAAAGAAAGGCACAAAATACAAATGGAAGAATCTACCTCGGAGTTGCACAAAATCCAACCTGGAGATGGCAGCACTACACATTCTTTGGCTGCGTTCCGAAATTCACTTCCAGTGCTGAAATTCTATAGTATACGTGACATGAACTATACATTTTCAGTACTGGCAGTACATTTCGGAACGCAGCTTTTATAGCGAAACATCGAAATATGGAAGATAGCGACAGCGTTTAAGTTTGGTGAGCCAATGAGAACCAGCCGAACGAAAGGCCAATCAAGAAAAACCGAAAGACAAAGGCCGGTATTCATGGTCCAATCTTAAGCTGCCAATACATGGGAGCGTTCCAACGTCGAGTGTTAAAGCGTTAGCCAATCAACGTATCAGGTTCTAGAAGTATAGTTGTAGTTCTTGCAGAAAGTGACACGTTGATTGGCTACCGCTTTAACGCTCGACGCTTGATGCTCCCATGTAAAAGTACCTTTATAGTGTGTTCGACTAACCCTGGGTTAATCGCTCCAAGAGCGATTAATGACATCATAAGTCTCTACTAGCCAATCATAAAGCTTATAAGTACTTGTTCGACCTATAAACGTAGGTTGAATAACCCAGAGTGAGTTAATCCAGAGCCAGTCGAACATGCTATTATATTTAAGAACTTCCGCCGCGCGGCAAACATTACCGCGTTCCTGCAGAAGCCATAAGACGTAAGCAGTAAACAAATTGATCAATCATAGAGTGCTTTCCAGTTTCGTACATTGTGTTACACAAAACCAGTTTATTGGTTGCATATTATCTTACAAGATATTTTAGATAATATGTGACCAATAAACTGGTTTTGTGTACGTGAGTTTCAAGTGTGTTAAGCAATTGGAAAGCACCAATTGTCGATTATTACAAGAATATTCTTGTAATAATCGACTATGATCGACTAGGTCAATTTATTTACTGCTTATGTCTTACTGCCCACTGCCAATCTCATTGTAGATGGGCCTTTAAAACAGCTGCGGAATAGAGAGTGCGTCATAGAAGCAACCAATCAGCGCATAGCGGCAACTAGAGAGCCTATAATCAGAGAGTCGTTAACTCGTGACGTGCCAGCTGCGCGCTGATTGGCTCAGGGCGCGTGGAGCTCCATAATCCTGAGAGATATATGCAAGTTCAAATAATTATATAGGTATAACACATGTAAATACTTATCAAATGAAAAAAGATACAATTCAACTTTAAAATCCTTACCTATTTGATCTTTACGTCCTTCCTATCACTGTCACTCTAACCTTTCTTTCAGTATCATAGAGCTGCACGCGTCCTGAGCCAATCAGCGCGCAGCCGGTGACGAGACACGTGACGAGTGACGACTCTTTGATTATAGGCTCTCTAGCGGCAACCAATCAGCAGAGCAGCATAGCGCTGATTCGTTACTTCTATGACGTACTCTCCATTCCGCGGCTCTTAGGGCTATCGCACACAAATTGACATAACTGCATATGCATAGCATAAGACCGTATGTACCAATGAGTATCGAGTATTAAGTCGCCATATTGGTGTTCGATGCTTAATTTTCGATGCTCATTGGTCCATACGATCTTATGCTATGCATATGCAGTTATGTCAATTTGTGTGCGATAGCCCTTATTCTATGGGTGCGTTCCGTTTCCACGCATAATGCGCATGAAGCGCAGCGTTAGAGTAACAGAGATACGAGAGTACCTTCTGTATAAAAAGTACCGGGAATCGTTAAAAAAAACACAGAATATTTTATTTATTCATCAAAATTTATTTTGTCGCCTTCAAAGTAATCCCCATCGTTTGCAATGCACATGTGAAAACGGCGAAACCAATCTTCCATGCACTTCTGGTAGGCCGATTCTGGTATGGCCTTCAGGACCCGCTGCGAATTCCTTTTGATGTCATCAATCGATGAAAAACGAATACCACGGAGTGGCAATTTCAGTTTCGGGAAAAGAAAGAAGTCGCACGGTGCCAAATCAGGCGAATACGGTGGATGGTTGACAGAATTGACCGAGTTTTTGGCCTTGTAATCGGCCACAATCGTGGCTCTGTGCGCTGGCGCATTGTCATCGTGTAAAATCCACGAATTGTCTCGCCACAATTCGGGCCTTTTTCGCCGGATATCAGTGCGTCGGCACACGAAATTTCGTTTGCAACACAAAATTTGAGGCACACTCTTTGTTCGACTATTTTTTCCATGGTAAAATTCGCAGAGCAACACTGAGGTAGA